GTTTACGTTATCAGCAAGGATTCTGACAACAGTAGGTTATTAGTAGTTAACTTTTGGAGGAGTCAAAAATTACATGTGTGGCTCAGGCCTGTGATCTTAGCACTTTTAGAGGCTGAGGAGGGAGGGAGGATCGTTTGAGGCTAGGCCAGGAGTTTGAGACCAGCAGGGGCAATATTTGGACTCTGACTCTACAAAAAATAAAAGTCATACATGGGTTTTCAACTGCCTGGGAAGGTTGGGGCCCCTAACCCCCCCATTTCGTTGTTCAAGGGTCAACCGTACTCAGTTTCCTCATCTGTACAATAAATAATGTAGTGGCTCCAGCACGCGTAGTGCTGCTGACTTAATGAGACGCAAACTCAGAGCGGCACGGGCGTGTCCTCAGTGCTCAGTGGATGAGCCATGGCTGTCATTCCGCCCAGCCCGGCCCAGCACATGGCCAGGTCCCACGAAGGGTCTCTGCTGTCACTGCCCTAGTCTACGGCGCCTCTGTGCTCCAGGCACAGCCCGTCCTTTCAGCAGACTCCGCGCTGTCAAAAGCAGAAATAACTGTCTATTTTGAGAACCCATGTATGATCGTTTCCATGGTTACCCTGTCATGATGCCAAGCAGACAAAAGACCTGGATTTCTAGTGCTTCAGAGAGCGGCGGGGAGCCGTGGCAGAAGCAGAGCGGCCCATGTGCCCCGGCTGCGCCCTGACGGGGCGGGGTCTGGGGAGGCTGCCTCACTCCGCAGAGCCTCAGTTTCCTCACCTGTCCAACGGCAGAAATGAACGTTCCCTTGTGACAGGGAGCGCTTCACTCAGCAGAGAGGAAATCACGGTTTTATTCTGTTAGGAAAACGACGCTGTGAACACTCACCTCTGGGTGTCACTACCAACCGCTCCCTGAGTTCTGAGCAGTAACGGGACAAATGGAAGAAAGTGGGCAACAACTAACCCTAATCTCCAAGTCTATTTAAAAGAATACAGCTTGAGTAACAGCCATGTGTTCAGGTTAAAAACAGCCACCGCCACCTGCCGACTGGGGTCCCTGGATTCCTCCTGGGAACCAAGAACAAGCAAGGCCTGGACAAAGCACATGGGACAGAACCTCAACTGCTCACTGCCTATCTGGGGCTAATCAAAATGAGAAAAAATAGATGCTGTAAAGGCTTGTTAAAAGCCAGGTAAACAGTCTTTTTACTGACATTAAAGAGAAAGTTTCTATACAGGATATTGAATTTGAGAATTAAAACATTCTAGAAAAATTTAAAATACAAAATAACTCCAATAGAAAACCTGAATAAACCCTTACTCAAAAAAGAAATTAAACTGGCAGCTTAAAAAATTTCTCGCCGAATAGACTTAGTAAAACACGAGTTTTACTAACAGTTCAAGAAGCAGGTGTACCATATTAACTGTTCCAGAAAAGAAAGAAATCTGCCAGCTCACTTTAGGAGAGTTGAATAACCTTAAACTTGGGCAAAGAGAGTCCAGGAAAAGAACAGCAGAGGCCAACTCCACCTGTGAACACGCGTGTACAAAGCTTCCACAAAGCACCAGCAAAGCGCAGGAGCGCGTCTGCAGGCGCGGGGCCGCTGGCGGGCTCGGGCGCGTAGCCAGCGCCGTCAAAGCTCCCAGACAGGTCACCAGGCAGCCAGGGAAGGGGCCTGGGCAGCTTTCAGCAACAGACCTGACCCCAAGGTCACCCAGGCACAGTCAAAAGCCCAGGGAGGTTCTGAAGACCCCACACCCCTCCCTCCATCCCCAGCACCTGCGAGAGCCTTCTGGACGCTCAGTGCAATCTGGGGAGAAGGGGACCCCGCCAACGCCCCGAAGTCAATGCTCGCCGCAGCTGTGGAAGATGGGGGCCTGGAATGACAACGGAGCCATCGAAAACACGCATTTCTCGAACCCTTCAGTTTGTGGGCTGATTCGCTTGTGGCTCGTACACCACCAGGAGCATGAAATTACGTGGCCAGGATTTGTGCCCGCACTCAGGAAGTGTGCAAGGTCCTCGTGATGGCCCATGTGGGGGCTGGAGAACGCGATGACAGCGCTGTAGGAGCCCAGGGGCGTGGACCTCTCCCTCCAGCCCCCAGGCACGTCGTGCAGACACCGTGGGGCACACAAAACTGTCCTGCGCGGGAGTCCCTGCACTCATCCTGCCTGCACACACACGGGTCTCCGGCTCGCCATTTAAATCCATTATTAAAATACAAATACCCAGAGAAACGTAAAGAAAATATCAGCCCCTTTCTCACAGTTCACCATGCAGGGACATGTTGTCATATTTCTTTCCAGAGTTTTCTTTACTTCCATTTTTGGGTAGTCATTGCCTTGGTTTGTGTCCACACTAAATCTTTTAGCATAGCAATTTTTCCACGTTATTAAAAGAATCTTCTAAAACAATATTTGAAACAATGGAGCAATATTCTGCTATATGGGTGTCATCAATGTTGACTTGCCATTGTCTCTCCTGCGCGTGTAGGGTGCCCCTACACTTCCACCCCTGCAAAGAAGGCTGTGCCATGAAGCCTCATCGTTCTTCCCTCGGGTCAGGGCTGGACCCAGGAGCAGGACCCAGCCTCTCCTCTCTTCCCCACTCTTAATCCGTGCCATTCTGACCCAGAGCTCAACACAGGCACAGCCTGGGGGCACGAGTGGCCTCAGTCAACAGGTGGTGGGCATAAGGTGGTAGGGGCAGTGCCCCGTGGTGGGCAGAACAACAGCCCCTAGCAACGGCCACACCCTACAGAACCCATGAATATGCTGTTACTTGGCAAGGGCAAATTAAGGTCAAAGATGGAATTAAGGGTGCAATTCAGCTGGCCTTGAGACGGGAAATCACCCTAGGTTATCCCTGCAGGCCCAGTGTGGTCACAAGGGACTACATAAATGGAAGAGGAAGGCAGGAGGGTCAGAGTCCTGAGAAAGGCTCCACCCGCTGCTGCTGACGTCCACTTCCAGGGTGGGGCGGGGCATGAGCCAAGGAACACAGACCTCTAGAAGCTGAAGAGGCAGGGAGACAGGTGCCCTGCAGCCCCGTGCTGGCCCTCTGACTGCAAAAGAATAAATTAGCGTCATTTAAAGCACCGAGTGTGTGGCCACTTGCTCTGGCAACCACAGGGCATGGCTCCAGCCCTGGGCGCTGGCTGCGGGGATACCCCAGCCACCCCGACCCAGGGCGTCTCAGCCGGGGCACCTGGGCCTCACCTTAGGCGCTCATCGGCACCGGGCTGGACTCCAGACCCCAAGTCAGCTGCCCACCGGACCACTACTCAGAGCCCAGCAGGGACCCAAAGCCTGCCTCTGGCCCACCCTGCTCCCAGCTGTCCCAGGCCATGGCCCTCTTCACCAAACCAAACCACAGAGTCCCTCACTGCATGGCCACACGCCACTGGGCCAGCTCGACCCTCAGGGAACATCTGGGCGCAGCAGGAGACTCTGCCCCGCCTCCTGTCCCTCCCAGGTCACCATCGCTCCTTGAGTGCGCCCCTGCAGGAGCCCTGCGACCCCTCCACGGGGACGCCTCTGGGCATCCTCTCCGCTCCCAAGTCCCCAACCCTCATGCCGCCTTGCAGCGCCCTCCGAGGTCCCCGGCTCACTCAGAAAAACCCGCTCCTTCCCTGGACCTGTGGGCAGTGGCCTACTCATCCGCCTCATCCAGCTGACGTGGCTCCTGCCTTTCCACCCACTTCTAGCCACAAGGAGCCTTTGTCCCTGCAGTATCCTTCTTCTAGAACATTCTTCCCAGACGTTGGCGTGGCTCATCCCCTCATGGTGTCTGCTCCACAGGGATCTCTTCGACGACCCTCCCTGACACGTTCCACCCCTGCTCCGGTTCCGGGGTGCTGTTGGCATCACATCGGCTACTTACAGGCCCACTGCCTGTCCGCCGCAGACATAAGCTCCTCGAGGGAGGGCCTCTGCCTGGGCGTGCCCTGCTGTGTCCCCATGCTGGGAACAGGCACTCACTGAAGGCCTGGACAGCAAAGCGTGACACGCGGAGCATGGGCAGCCCCCGGGCAGACGAGAGGTGGGGCGTGGGGCCAGGGCTTGGCCAAGGAAGGAGGAACTAGCGGCTTTGGAGGGCCCGGCCTGGTGTAGCACCCCATCTCCGACTGCCCAGCGAAACCACTGCCCAGGGGAAGAATGTGGCCTGTTACTCCCAACCAGCCCTCTGCCACCTGCACCCAGACTTTTCTTTTTTTTTTTCCAGAGACAAGGTCTCGCTCTGTCATCTGGGCTGGAGTGTGATCACAGCTCACTGCAGCCTTGAACTCCTGGGCTCAAGCGATCCTCCTGCCTCAGCCTCCCGAGTAGCTGGGACTATACGCACTCACCACCACACCCGGCCAATGTTTTGTAGAGACAGGGCCTCACTATTGCCCAGGCTGGATTTGAACTCCTGGCCTCAAGCAATTCTTCCACCTCAGCCTCCTGAAGTGCTGGGATTACAGGCAGAATGTGTCCCTGGACCTCGTTCAGCCCCGACCTCCCCACACACCCCCGTGGGAGCCCTCATGGCAGGCCCTATGGTGGGTGCTAGGACGAGGAGGTGACATTTACAGACCCTGCCCCAGGAAGCTCACAGCTGCTGGGGGAAGTGGGGCAGTCCATGGAAGTTCCACAGGGTGTGGCCAGTCCTGTGAGAAAGGGACGCTTTGGGGGCCATGGGGGTACACAGGAGGGTCCTGACTCAACTGGGAGTCAGAGAAGGCTTCCCGGCGGAGATGACACCTAAGCCTGGTGCCCCCTTAGCTTCCAGGTCCCCTGACCCTCATCCTAGTGGCCCGACCCTTGGAAGCTGCGCAGTTCCTAGCTGTGCAGGGACTCTGGGGGACAGCAGGAGGCAAGACCAGGCTCGCCGACCGCCAGCGCCAAAGAAGCATGGCATCACCCGCCCTGGCCAGTCTAGGACATGCTGGCTCACGCATCCCCTGCCGTCCAGCAGAAGGCGGGCGCCTCCCCGCCCGCCCGCCCGCCGGCCACACGGTCCCGGGTGTGGGCACTTACGCTTGGAGTGCTTGTCGCACAGGGCAGCGGCCCGCATGTCGCAGAGCCGCAGAGAGCCCTTGCTGCTGCTGTAGACGAAGAGGTTGCAGTGGTGCGGGTGGAACTCCGACGCCGTGATCACCTCTGTGAGGTCCTCCATGTTGGCTGGCTTGATGTCCACGATGTCTGGGGCAGCGCGGTCAAGGACGGGGCAGTAGGAGGCGCCCTTGCCACTCTGCCTCCCCTGGGGCTCTCCACCCCTCGCCCAGGCAAAGCCGTCTAGCCTGATGTGTGAGCCCCTGCTCTGCCCCCAGGACCCCCAAACACCCAGCCCAGAGAGTCTGGGCAAAGGTTTTGTATTTCCGGTCAGCCCAACCTGGGCTCCGATCTGTCCCTTCCTGGGACCTGGAATACAAGGCTCTGGGCTGCAGCTCGGTCCTCCCTGCTGGGCCAGCAGTGTAGAAAGAAGGGGCTTCTGTCTGCTGCTGTGACAAGCGGAAACCCCGGGCCTGAGGGCAGGGCAGACAGTACGAAAGGCAGAGTGGGGAAAAAGACCTGGTGTTAACTTCTGAATCCTGGACCAAGCTGAACCTGAAGCCACCCTCCCAGACTGTTAATATGGGAGCCAATAAATTTCCAGCTTTTGTTTAGCATCAAGAACTTTATAGCCTACAAAGAAAGTGTCCCTGACAGATACCCTGGACCACAGAAGGGCAAGCAACCTGTCCGGGGAACCCGTGGTGGGCGGTCAAGCCGGATCCAGCCTCACAACCTCCAGGCTCCAAAGCCCGCCCCTTCCCTGCTGTCCAGCAGCAAACCAGAGCCCTCGGCACAGGCAAGCCCTGCAGACCAGCCCGCCCGGCTTCCCAGCTCCAGGCCCTACGTGCCAGTCACCCTGCCTGAAGGGCTCTGACAATGACAGCCTTGGTCCCTGGTCCCTCCAGCCCTGCAGAGGGCTTTGCGCAGCCTGTTCCCTCTGACTGCCCACGCATGCGAGCCCTGGAGTCTGCGGTCTGGGGTTGGGATCCCAGCACTGCCACCTCCTGGCAATGTGATCCCGAATGAGTTCCCCAGCCCTCCGGGACTCATTTCCTCATCTACAAAATGGACCAACAGTTCTAACCTCCTAGTTTTCTTGTAAAGATTAACAGAGGCAAAGCCCAAGGTCCTGACTCATTGCAAAGTGTAATGAATGTCAGTTGCCATTATTATTATTGTTGTTTTTATTATCTGGAAAATACTGATTGAAATTCTGAGACGCACCTGCTGTGAGCCCCTGGCCCTCCCCTCCCGCAGCCCGCGCTGTTTCCTGTCTCCGTGAGAAAGTGGTGCTTTCTGACCTCTGTCAACACAGAGCTGACAAACGGCCAGGAAAGACGGCTGTGCAGTCCGAGGCGCCAAGGAGGGCCTCTGTCACACGCAGGTCTTGCTTGCTGGAGCGGCGCTAACCAGCAACAGAGTCGCGTGCGCAGAGGCAGGGAAACGAGCGGAGGCACCAATGCCTGGCTGGCTTCCCAGGTCACTACGGTTTTCTGGTGTGAAAAGCAGCAGAGGTTGAAAAATGAAAAATGATACTAACGCTCGAAAAAGTGGCAGGCTCCTGCTAATGTCATCGACGCCCCCTGGTGACCCATGCTTCAGGGCTAGCCTGCTGCAGACGCCTCTCCGTGACACTCTGCCTGCTTGGGAACGGCTTGCGCTTCCTGACTGACCGTCACCGCAATGGCGTCTGGAGGAAAAGCACGGTCGTCACGTACGGAATGTCACGCACACTCACGCGGCGGCACCTACTCAACATTCTGCACGAAGGGTCAGGGCAGGCAGGGACTAAACCGGCTCTGCGGAACTTGAGCAGCAAACAAAAGCCAAGGAAGCTGTGCTGGAAACAGAAGTGCCCTGGGGATGCCGGTCCCACAGGGGTCCTGCTTGTGTCACTGTGGGACACTCGTTCTGGCTGTATTTCCTCGGGTCATGACTCCGGGGCGGGGCAGGACGGCCTCTGGGGGTTCTCTGAACACAAGGACGCGCTGCTTTTGCCAGTGAGGGGACAAGCCACGCACGTGGCTCCGAGATGGAACTTGGAGAGCCGCATGTGGTCTGCCACCTCGCTCTTCCCTCGCAGCAAGACGGCGCCAGAGCCGAGCTTGAGGACGTGCTCGCGGCAGGAGGGGAAATCCAGTGGGGCTGTTTGAAGCCTCGGAGACCCCGAGGCTGGTGTCACTGCAGCGTGACCGGCCCTCCCGACTGGCTCCGCGGCCGCCCAGTGCTGGCCTTCCCAGCTCGGGGTGCTCTGCAACGTTTAAAGGCACACAGAGAAGCCCTCTGTGCAAACACTCCCGACATGGCGACCCAGGCTGGCTGCGGGACAAGGACGAGAGATCGAAGGCCTGGGTGCAGGCTGGGGAGACAGGGTCTCCAAAGGCAAAGGAGTCAAGGGCCTGGTGTACGGTTTGTGGGGAGAGAGTCCCCCAAACCTGGGTGCTGCCAACAGCCCAGGCCCATAGTGGTAGGGCAGACAGCACGAAAGGCAGAGTGGGGAGAAAGGCCTGGTGCTTTCTGAGTCCTGGCTCCCACAGCCTCAGCACCCTCGGGAAGCCTCCCTTGCTGTTTCCAGCAACGGACTTTGGACACAGTGGCTGCTGGGTAAACAGTAATGTCAAGCACAGAGGTTGTCCCCGCCTTACCGTGGCAGAGGAAGACAGTCATGGTCATGGCCGACTCAGCAGGGTCCCCACTGGCAGGAGCTCCCTGGGCCTGGCAGGCAGTCTGCACCTCTGAGTCCCAGGGCACAGGCCCTGCCAGCCACCTGGGGCAGCGCAGCGTCCCTCGGGGCCTGGGCATCTGACCAGGCCCGTGGTCACTCAGTCCCTGGGATGGCCTCCGCAGGATGTCTGGCTCAGCTGGCCACAGGACCTGCCTGGCCCGCTGCCCGGCCCTTGGCTGGTGCCATGAGGTGTGCTAAAGGGACTGCTGAGTGGGGCTGTCCCCGTTGGACTTCTCTCCACCTGTAATAGAACAGGAGCCTAAAGACAGATTCCTGGTGAGGGAAGTAGCTGTGGAGAAGCCCTCCCTAGCGCAATGATCATGCCATAAACGCAGACCCTGCGAAGTCGTCGGCTCACACCCTGCGGCCGCGCACCTGTGGATTTAAGACTTTGGTCAACAGTGACCATGAGCAGCAGCTTTAGCTTTGGGGGGACCAGCACCAGGGCAGAAGCTGGGGGCCCTGGGCGGGGCATCGGGCTTGCTCTCTCTGAAGTGTGCTGTGCCACCTGTGAGCACCATTTCCTTGCTGCAGGCCTCGGTTTCCCCATTTGCAAAACAAAGGGATGGGCATGATCCCGGAGTGCCCTTTCAAGGATTAACCCCCAGGTGGCCTGTCCTCTGCTTCATAATCGCCACATAAATCCCACTCATAAAACTGTGCTTTACAAGGTTCATTTCTGGACGAGCCTCCCTTGGGAACAAGCATAATTAGACGCAGTCAGGAGTCCCCTCCCCGGCAAAGCTGGCTGAATTATTCATATTCTGTTTTTCTTTCTAATTCTACTCCGACTGTCTGGCGGGCTTTTGTTTAACTTTCAATTGTACTTGGGCAGCTAAGAATCATTTTCTCTGCAGGAAAGCTTGTCAGACACAGGTAGGCATGCCGGAGACAGGACGGAAGAGAGAAGGGACATCACTCTCAAACCCCAGACGCCTCAGCAGAGCACAAGTTATTCTTCTCCAGCGGCCCCCAATTATGGCCCCCATTATGGACCAGCGGTCCATAATGTCCCGACCTCCAGAGACTATGAATGTGACCTTAGCTGGGAAAGCGATCTCTCCAAATTTGGTCACGGAATTTGAGATGGCCTTAAATCCAATGACAAGTGTCTATGTAAGAGACAGAAGAGGAGAAACCAGACACCAGAGAAGGCCATGCGAATACGGGGGCAGAGACTAGAGAGATGTGGCCACAAGCCCAGGACACATGGAGCCACCAGGAGCCAGAGGAGACAGGGACCCTCTCCCCAAACTTCAGAGACAGCACAGCCCTGCGGGCACCTTGAGTTTGAATTTCTGGCCTCCAGGACGGCGAGAGAATACGTTTCTGTTGTTTGGAGCCGCAGAGTTTGTGGCAATTTGTCACGGCAGCCACCGGACACTGATAGCCCCGGTTGCTCCCTGGGAGCTGGGAAATGACAACAGGGACATAATGCTAGTATCAAGGATGTCTTTATGTCCACCCAGACTGGGCTTTTCCCTAAAGTTCCCTGTTTTGGCAGCCCTAGCCCTGAGCCCCAGTAATCGAGACAGCTTCCTGGTCCTTCTCTCTAAGTCTTTCCCGTACGTCACCAGTGTCACAGAGCTGGGGCTCCCCGATCTCCAGATCCTCCTGCTCTGCCCCTCAGCCCTGCCCCCGTCATCTCTGTCCCCAGGGAGTCCGTGTCCAGGCCCAGCTGGAGCGAAGCTCCCCCACAGCTGCTGGACTCCCACTGCCCTGCGAGGCCTTCCCTGCCGCAGACGCTGCGCGGCACGCCGCCCGGCCCGTCTCCCCCCGCCTCAGCCGCATCCAGCGTTTGAAGTCTCAAGAACATCCCAAGGGCGTGGTGGTCTCTGCCTGAACAGCAGGGTGAGCTTTACCCATCTGCTCACCCACAGACCTCGCCCCCCGTGTGTCACCGCGCCACCTACGTGCCCAGCGCTCCCTCTTGGCGGGTGGCACCAAGGCAGGGACCCTATCTCCTTCACCTCCATGCCCCAACTACCGCCCCACCCCATGGCCTGCCCAGAGCTGCGCTGGGGCACGTGTGCTGCGAGACTTGAGAAGGAACGTCAGATGAGGGGACCCAGCCTTCCCTCGGGCACGGGCCTTCCAATTTAGCATTCCTGTTCACAGGCATTTCCGCACCCCACCCCGCCTGGCCAGCTGGTGCGACCCTGGCCTTCCTTAGGGGAGGAGACAGGCTCCGGGGCTCCCACAGCTGGTAAGCAGCAGAGCTGGCATCTGAATCAGCCTGCACGGCCGCAAATCCAGTTTGGGTTCCTCCTCACCCAGCCCCCACGGCCAGGGTGAGCGCACTGAGGCAGCGTCCCATCACTCCAGGGTGTGACAGGCTCCCTCCTACCGCAGGGCCTTTGCACTTATGTCCTTCAGATCTCTGTCCAAACGCTCCTTCATGACGTGGCCTTCTCCTCTAAAC